GCCGGCCCCTCGGTCCACGCCGCGCGGACCCGCCGGTGCCCAAATTGCGCATCGGGAAGCGGCGGGCAGCCAGGCCTTCCATAAAGGATGACGACCGTAGTATCACGGCTGATGCATTTCTGCGCGCTTCTTTTGTGCCCGACTCTGTGCTAAAATGTTTACACCGACCCGGTGATGCGGTGATCCTAACAGCCCTTTGAGGAAGCGGGCGCACCATCCCCTGGCTGTAGGCTGAGAGCCCAGATTTCGGTGTGGGACTCGGGATAAAATCTGGTCCTGGCGTACTCGCCATATGACCTTGGGGGTAGCGACTTCCCTTTTTTAGCCTCATTCATCGACTTTAAGCGGTGATGATTAGAATTAGACCTACCTTTTACTGTGATTATTAGATGAGATGATGTGTAGGGAGCAGTTCTCAGGGCCCCGCTGTTAGGAGGCGCACAATTAATGTTCACTGTTATTGTCATCACTGTGATTGTTATTGCTACAACTGGCCCCATTTTATAAATGGGGAGTGGAAACACAGTATTCATATTGCTACGCCAAGGTCACACTGGGAGCGAGTGCATGCGTGCCGGGTGGAGATTTGAACTAGGTCCATCGCCAGGACCACTGACCACTGAACCCAACTGCTTTCCCTGTTTTCCAAGGCTGCCTTTGATTCGTGTCTGTCTGCCTTTGAGTCTGTTAAGCTGAGGGGGTGTTTCTCTCCTTGTAGGTGGCCTTCCCTTATGAAACACTACAGCCCCACCGACTACGTCAATTGGTTGGAGGAGTATAAAGTTCGGCAAAAAGCTGGGTTAGAAGCCCGGAAGATTGTAGCCTCATTCTCAAAGAGGTTCTTTTCAGAACACGTAAGGATCTGTTGGTGGAGCTCTAAGCGTTTGCTTGGTAGTGGTGTATGTGTCTGGGTTTCTAGGCATGAGCTCATCCAGCTCTTTCTGCTGTCTCCCTTTTCAATGCTCTCACAATCCCTTACTCACTTAGATGGCTGCAAGAGTCATTGTGTCCTTTTCCTCCTATCCAACAACATGAAGCCATTTGTCCCTGCCAGCTTTACTTTTTCTAAAGCCAGAGAGAGGAAAGGGGGAGGGGGAGGGAGGGACCCGCAGCACAATGTGCAGGGAATCGAGACCAGCATTATTTCTCTTTAAGTGGGTTAAACATATTTTTTGCAGCCTCCACATGATGGAGTGGAGGGGGGGAATCATCAGTAATGGAACGCTACAAATTTCACCCAGTTCTTTTCCCAGAAGGGTTGACAAAATTAATATGCTTCCTCTCTTTGGCTTTGCAGGTTCTAACCAGTAGTGAAGTGCATTATTTGTGAAGGTAACAGGATTAAAAGCTGTCTGTACATCAGAATTATTACTCCTTCAATTACATTGTCTTGTATTCATTATCCCTGAAAAAATTTTTTTCCTTTTTTTTAAATACTGCTGAAATGCGTGGGTTTGTCTGTTTCCTTTCCACAAAGTGTCTCTCACAGAAGTTTCTGTATCAGGTCCAGATTCTTAAGTTTTTGTAAATCTTTCTTAGTGTGGAAAATAGTCCACACTAATATTTTAAGTTTATTTCTTTTTTTAATTTCTTTAATTTTTTAAAAATTCTTTTGTTTTTTGTTGAGGGGGGAAGGTAATTAGGTTTGTTTATTTATTTATTTTTAGAAGAGATACTGGGGATTGAACCCAGGACCTCATGCATGCTAAGCGTGCACTCTACCCCTTGAACTATGCCCTCCCCCTTAAGTTTATTTCTGATTGGAGGTCTAGAAATGGAGCCAGTCTGATTTATTTTACTATCTGGTTTCCTGGAGATTAATTCCCATTTTCTAGTTTTAATTACTATTAGTTAAGGGAGTTCACACATTTGAAATGTTTTCAAGACTTTTCAAGTTTAGAAAGGGAAAATTTGAACTTTGAACAAATTTGAACTTATTCCCTTATAGAGAATAAAACTTGATATTCCCTAGTGTAATTCATTTCTAAATAAATGTTAATGTCAAAATGGACAAAATTTGTGTCCTACCTTGGATAAGCCATGCCCTGGCTAAGAGCATTCATAATCACAGATTCTCAGTACTGGTTTAAACGTGTTTGCATACCCATATATTTGGGTGTTAGGTATGTTGGATGCACGTGGACATGGGTTACTAGTTTGCAATCTCTACTTATAGTCCAGCTGGTTTTGTGTGTGTTGTTAATAGCCTGTGCCTTTGTCTAATAATAATGAATTGTTGTGTTTTTCCCTCCGCTCCGTCTTTCCCTGCACCTCTGCTTAATTAGAAGTATACCAAGGACTTTGAACATAGTAGGAATATACTTGAGACTGATCTGTGAGTGAATGATTTCTTTGGCTCAGGACCCTTGTATTCCTGTGTTCTCAGCATGCACACAGATTGACATGAAATTTGCTGGCTACTTTAAAAAGAAAAGTGGGAGGAGTAATAGAATTTTAAACTGAGGGGATCTTACTTCTCATTGTACCACCACCTCAGTTTACAGAGGAGAAAACACGCCCAATGGGCTGAGGGATCCCGTCAAGCACCGGACCTCTCTCTCCGGGCCTCTGCTCCTAGTTGAGTGCAGCACAGACTGTATGGAGTCATTATTGTGAATTGTGACCATCTTGTATTTCTGGTCCTTGTTTCAGAGCTGTTTTTCTTCACATTAGAACTCTTAAAGTTATTGCTTTCAGAAATCCCAGTCTATGAAAATATATTTAATTCACAACTAACAACATGATCCAAAGAAATCATTGTCACTTCGTGTATTAGTTTTCCACCCATGGTCGGTGGTGCGAGTTGGTGTGGGATAGGTGTTACTGTTTCCACAAAAATGAGCAGCTTTGTTTGCAACTCAGGTTTGTGCGTGAGAGTGATGACGACACCATTGCTCGTTACTGAGGCCTGTTTGTATGTGTCTTCTTCGTAGGTCCCCTGTAATGGTTTTAGTGACATTGAGAATCTTGAGGGACCAGAGATATTTTTCGAGGATGAACTGGTGTGTATCCTTAACATGGAAGGAAGGTAAGTCGTTTTAGCAAGGATTTGTTGGTTGGTTAATAATAACCCCATAATTAATTGCTGTAATTTTGTACGTGGCTGAACTATGGGATGTGTGTTTCCAGACATTTTCATGATGCATTCACTTTGCTGTAGTTGTATTTTTGAAAAATTCTGTGTATATAAGATAAATACACCAAGACCGCTGATAAAGAAATGGTGCAAAAATTCTTTTGGAGAATTAGTATTTAGTCTTCCTATGGGTCAAATACTGTGCTCTGGGCACTTGTATCTGTTATGTCATTTGGGTAATACAAATTATCCTTTCTTGTCACTTCACCTACCACTGCCAGATTGGCCTGTCCTGAATTGAGTTAAAAAAAAAAATTTCTGGGCCATGTCTTAATTTAATGGATGATTTTTTTTTTGTAATTCCAGAATTTTGGTAAGAAATAATCTTACTTTGACCATTAATATTATACATATTTGGCTGAACCTTTCTTTTATCTCTCCCAATAAAGAAGAATCCATTATTTCTTGGTTGTTGCTTAAATTTTTTTTGTGCTTCATATTTTCTGCTGTGAAGCTTAATTTCCAGTTTACCTAAAAGAGGACTTGGCTTCGAGCCTAACTTACCTACAAAAAGATTTTCTGCTCTAAAAATGCTGGAAACTTTACTAGTGATGGAAGATAAGAATGCTAGTTTTAACATTTTCCTTAAGGGAGCTCATTGTGAAATGTCTCACAAACAAGATGTAAGACATTTTTCTTGTTGTTTTTAAGGAGGTTTAGGAGAGAGAAATGTCTATCAGTGGAACAACTGTGGGGGGAGGTAAGATGTGACACTATTCTAGGCCTTGGATGAGTTCTGATGCAGAGGTCATTTTTCCGTTTCTATTTTGGTTTATCTATAAATGAATTGAAGTGTGATCTAATAGTCAGTATTGTGCAGCCTTAAAAATAAAAGTCGGCCTGTGTTTTTTTTAACGTACGTACACATAGACTTTTAAAGACATAAACTTATCATACACACTGGGTTTATTGGTTATGGATTTGGTTTGATGTTTAGTGCAGACTTTGTATTTTTCTCATTCATGTTCTTTTTCTCTTCCTCCCTTCTCCCCCCATTTGCACTGGCCTTCCCTGCCCCTGCTCCTGTAATTTATGATGACAACCTAGGTTGTATGTTTCCATGCTAATATGATATATATGGGGGTGGAGGGGGAGCGTTACAAAATTGTGATCCTACAAAATATATATAATCCTTTTCTATATCTTTGTTTTTCTCATTCAACGTTGTGGAAATCTATCCTAATCAACTGGTAAAAATCCAATTCACGTTTGTTAATAGCTGCGTACTGATTCGTAGTATACGCCATGATTTGTTTAACTATCCCCCTATTGATGGGTAACCACTTCCTTCATTTTGTGTTATGTGGAAGGTGACGTTTCTAGTGCTTTCATGTCTAAGGAATGGATTTCTGGGAATGGGTTGCCAAGGTCAGACTACAGAATGTTATTTGAAAAACTTAAGAGGTGGCGTGTCCTTGAATAAGAAGACTTGCCATCACAAAAATGTCAGTTCTTCCAAAATTAATACATAAACTTAGTGCCGTTCCAATTAGGATCCAACAAGAGTTTTGGGAGGGGAGAGCTTTGTGTGTTTTAAATGGATAGTATTGTTTTAAAATATGTACAGAAGAGTAAATTCACAAGAAGAGCCGGAGAAAACAATTTAAAAATAATTACAGTGGGAAACTTGCATCACTAGCTATTAGAACATATAATAAAGCTACCTGTTACCAAAGCAATATAGTATTTAAATAAAAATTGCTATGTCAGTGGTAAGGATAATTAAAAAACATGTCCCAGCATAAAAGATAATTTAATATATTTAAACTCAGAGAGGAAAAGATGAATTCTTTAATGAATGGGATTGCGCATAACTGAAAAGAATAAAACTTGCATCACATGCAGAAATTAAATTCCAAGAGGTTAAACAACCTAAATTTTAAGATTATCACAATGAAAATGCTTCAGGAAAATAGGGGACTTCATGTACAGCCTAGGGATGCCTCCTTAACTAAGACTGATGATGCAGAAGTGATACAAAAGTAAAGACAAATGACTTTGCAATAAAAAAGGACTTGTATGACCAAAGACACTAACAAAGTCAATAGAATCCTTAAAGCTTCCAAGAAGAAATTGAAAACTGTACAGAGTACAGGAGGATGACAGTCCCAGAGGAGCAACTCTTAAGTGGCTGGCAGTCAAGTAAAAAAAAAAAGCTTTAAATGCACTCTTCATTGAAATGTTGCTTTTGTACTTACCAGATTGGCCAAAAAAGACTAAATATGCACAACCAGTAAAAATGTATGTCATTATAGTCTTTTTAGACATAATTATCATAAATATGTTGCTCTTTGACCTGCCACTTATTTTGAGCCTAAAACGGTTGCTTTTTAATGACAGAATATTCTCAGAATATTTGACAGAATATTTGTAAATGTTTTGAGGTGCTCGTTTTCATGAGGATCCGCTCTGTAGTCATTCCTGGCAAATGCTGTTGTTTGGATATGGAAAAGTAAGAAGGAGGAATGGTAGTTTCTGTAGATGCTAAAGCACCAATCTCTGGATACTTGAAAACAATTTGCATTTATAGTGTTCTTTGTGGTCTTAAAAAAGAGTACATCGTACCATAAAGATTTGAAGCAACATATTAAAAGAGTATACACTGCACCTGAGAAAAGTGACCCAGAATGACCAGCACTGAGACATATTTCAGTCAAACTACTGGATTTTAAAAAGAGAAAAGTCCTTTGTGCGTCCAGGCAGAAAAGATGAAGTGACTTACGAGAAAATCAGAATATCGTCAGACTTCAAGAGCAATGCTCTGTGCCAGAGGGAAAAAGAGGAACATGTTTAAGAAACTCAAAGATGGAAAATGTCAGCCAAGTATTTTTATATCCAGCCAAACTGACTTCCAGGTATAAGGGCTGCGGAGAAACTTACCCACTTGGAAGAACTCAGGGACTTTTGAGCCGTTCCTGAGAAATGTGCTAGAAATGAGCTTCAAACAACTGAAATAACCAGAGAGACTGATGAAAGGACTAGTGGTGAGCATTAAATACGTATTCTAGGATTAAATCCAAATGACAGTTGACAGGGTTCTTCCTCTATTGTATGTGATGGCCGTGAACCCTGACAATGTAGATACAGTACAACTGTCCCCCCCAAAAAAGCAGAGAATCTGGGAGAACCTGAGCAAAATATTTAGCTGTTTTCAGGAATCATCAGATTGATGAAAATATTGGTTTTGTTTTTCTGAGGCAGAGGTGTGTGTATGAAAGAGAGCAAGATGTGGAATAAAGCAAATGAGTGATTATGTAATATTCTTTAAAAAAATTTTATTTGGGGGGTAATTAGGTTTTATTTATTTATTTTTGATGGAGATACTGGGGATTGAACCCAGGACCTCATGCATGCTAGGCAGGCGCTCTACCACTGAGTTGTACCCCCCTCCCCTGTGTGATATTTTGATTCATCTCTGGTATCCTGAAGAAGTGGGATTCTCCTGGAAGAGAAAAGATATAGACATAAAAGAGAAGAAGGTAAAAACTGTATAGTTCTGAATTGGAATTAGATGTGTCAGTGTGAACTCATGAGATGTTTTGTATTATTTAAATTTAGACATTTAGGTCTGTGTGTGTGTGTGTGTGTGTACACACACTTATACACCAGGCATACTGTCTCTGCCCACTGGAAGGGTCTAGAAACAATAACCAGCCTAGTAGAAATGATCATCCCTAGCACCTAGATTGCAGTCTCCATACTGCCCCCCATTACAGGAAGCCAGGGGTTTTGGAGGAATGGCTGATTCTAGGTCCAGAACAAGAAATGTAAAAGAGGACCGTGGAAGCATCTTGGAAACCTGGAACCAGATAGCAGGAAAAGTAACAGTATGTAACGTCAGAAGTATTCAGGGGCCAATGTGAAGGGGCTTCCTTTGGCCAGAGATGTGTTGATTTGAGCATCAGTATGGATAGTAACTAGAATGAGTTGAAACACATCAGAAATGTTTAGCTCCGTGAGTTCATAATAATACTTAACAACTAATTGGTCGCCTTTAGAGGATAATAAGAACCCAGGTAATTATTTTGGAAAATGATAAAAGGAAAGAAGTGAGCACTTATCCTGCCTTTACTGTATACTGTGCCATTGGGGGACCAGATAGTAGATGAGGGGGAATTACTCTTTGTAGAAGTATTCTAGCTGATAAATGAAAAGGCGTGGTTGAATTAGCATATCCTCGCTCTATGACCTGTGATGAACTAACGGACCTGGGCCTTTGAGTAGCAATGACTGCTTGCATCACAAAAAGGCAACCAAGGCCTGATTGCCCCCGTATGGAAGAGCTCACTGCCGCCTATGAGCAGTCTTGCCAGTTAAGAGGAGTCTGAATCTGATCAAGCCTCTACGACCAATCTGCAGGAATTTAGAAGACAGAAGGGCATGTTAAACTACACCAGCTGGACACAGTCAGCAAGTTCCAGACTGTGGACAGGTCAAACAACCAGGTTTCTTCAACAAATCAAATACGAGGGGAAGAAAAGATGGAAGGGGGTCCTGTAAACTAAGAGACTTAGAAAGACGTCTGACAGACTCGTCTGGAGTGTTTAGCGATGACGTTTGTGAAGACTGCAGAGAAAAGCAGGATAGTGACGACCATAGAGGTGTGGGCTGTGATCATGTCATGGAGGGAGGAGAAGGCCCATGGAGGGCTCCTGGGGTATCTGCAAAGCTGTTGGCCTCAGTGGTGAGCGCAAGGGTGTTTCCCTTATAATAATTCAGTAAGCTGTTTCACGTGATCTTCTGGATTGGCATGCTTTACAACTGAGGTGAAAATGCTGGGAGGACCTAGCTCTGCGATTTTCATTTACTATCTGAAGATTGGAGAGTCCTTTGTTTATTCATGAAGCCAGGCAGATAAGTTAATCATCGTCTCCCTCCTACTTGCAGTATATCTGGGAGATCCAGTGAAGAATTTCAGTCACTTAGCAAGTCTTAATTGCGCACCTGCTGTGTGCCAGACACTATTCTAGGCACTGGTGGTACAACAGTGAACAACACTTAAAAAAAACCTTGCCTTCATGGAGTTCACACTCTAGTAGGGAAGACAGGCGCTAAACCAGATCAGAAACTGAGAAGTATATGGGGAAATAGTAATCAGGGAAGAGCGTGAGGGAGTGGTGAGGGATAGGGTGCAGTTTTAAATACAGCGGTGGGAGGAAGCCTTACACAAAGTGGCATTTCAATCAAAACTGCAAGGAGATGAGGGCACACATTGCAGATCTCCAGGGAAAGGATGTTCCAGTCAAGAGGAACTGAGTGCTAAGGCCTAAGGTGACCTCCAGCCAGGTGTGAGGAAGGAATGGCCAGGAAGCCAGCCTGGCTGGTGGCTAGACTCGGGGGCAGGGGTCAGATATAGGAACTGAGGTCAGACAGGTAACAGGATGAGAATTTAAAGGACCCTTTAGGTCAACATTTCAATGTAAGCTTTTACTTTAAGCAAGGTGGAAAACCATTGGAGAGTTTGGTGCAGAGGATTTTTTTGCTGTGACTTAACATGTTAGCTGGAGCCCTCTGGCTGCCATGCTGAACATAGACTGAGGGACAGGAAACTACTGTGATGTGGACAAAAATGGGTGGTGGTTTAGATGAGTTAGTGAGATGTGTTCACATTTCTGGTACATTTTGAAGATAGGACTAGTAGCATTGGCAGATGGGTTGAATGTGGCTTATGAGAGAAAGGAAGGAGTCAAGGATAACTCCAAGGGTCTGGCCTGGCTGGAATGGTGGAGTTGGCTTTATTTGAGGTGGGCGTGGCTCTACGAGGGGATTAAGGTTAAGTTCTCACCAGACGCCGAAGTGGGATGGGATGTAGCAGTTGGATATACAGGTCTGGAGTTTAGGGGAGAAACCTGTTCTGGAAAATAAATCAGTATGGCTGATATCTGAAACCCTGAGACTGGGTGGGATCACCATAGTAGCAAGTGCTGAAGGAGGGAGGCTGCTGCCCGAGGCCTGAGTGCCAAGCAGCCAGCAAGATTCCAAACCCCTCGCTTCTGTCTCAGACTCACCCTGTTCCCCTAACTTTTCAGGTTTCTCTGTCATTTCCTCCTAGTAAATCTGAAGCCAAATGGGTAACTGTTTCTTGAATTTGTGCATGGCTAATTTAGTGTGCAGTTACCAATGCCAAGTCCTAAACTGTGCCACGATGATAAGTACTGTATGCTCGTGAGCCAATTATGCCTTTCCTGTTAAGTAGCCTCTTAACATGGCATGATGAGTGTGGAGTAAAAAAGGGATAATTGAAAGCTTTAATATCTTAATTCTTACTGACTTATTGTTTGCTTTTTCCAGAAAAGCTTTGACCTGGAAATACTATGCCAAAAAAATTCTTTATTACCTGCGACAACAGAAGATTTTAAATAATCTTAAGGCTTTTCTTCAGCAGCCTGATGACTATGAATCGTATCTTGAAGGTGAGACTTCAGCATTGGTACTTTGCAAGGCAGCTAAGTTGTCCGTAAGGGCAGCAGTGGACACCATCCCTGATGAAAGAGCAGGGGAGAAGTAAACCATGCTGCGTCGGCTTCTGGCGGTTGAGTTGTGTGGTCTGATCAATTAGGTAGGCAGACCGACTATGTTTAGAGCTAAGATCTTGTCAAAACCTTTAGCTGTGTCAGCTGAAGAGACAGTGTTTTCTGAAGACGCGCCATCGGTTCAAAGCATGAGGCTAATATTTTAGCTAACAAGGTTAATTCCCTGTTTTTCTGAGCTTTGAAGCCTCGTTTCCAGATTAGAAATAAATGTGTCCAGTTTTGTCTCCATGTGACCTCGAGCCAAATCCCTTAACCTCTCTTGTTGGAGTTTAATGAGGACAAAGTGTTCTTGCATGTCAGCGAGTCTGCTTGTCCACAATGAGAAGTGAGTGGACAGAAGTCAAGGGGGACAGGCAAGAAGAAGGGAAGAACTTTTTTTCCTACTGAGTTGAACAAGACCAAAATGGGACTTCATTTTTCAAAAACATTTAAATTCTTAGCATATTACACAAACACTCCATTCACTGTGGTTGTGAAACAGAGATACGGCTCTTCACTCACTTTCATTCCTCCTCCCAGTGATTTACCCAGCTCATTGATTTTTTTTTCCTTTCCATTGTTTTCCTCGGTCATATGTCCCTTCTGTCCCTGTTCTCGAGCAGGCTGTCACCACCCGGCAGCAGCTTTCTAAGTACTACTTGTTTTCATGAGCATCACTCCCTCTGGCCCTCAAGTCAGTCAACATACAGTGCCAGCCCAGTCTGAAACCCAGCCTTTTCACAACTCCATGTGAGCCTGCAACGTGGCCAGCTGACATCCTTTTTAAATTAAATCTATGCCTGCTTTCAACATCCTCCATAATTTGGTCGGGCCTTCCTGTCTACTCTCCGAAATGTCCCATTTGCTCCAGCCAGGCCGCTGTCCTCATTGGCACCCTTCAGATGCACCTGGCTTCACTTCCTCATTTGTGATACCCTTTTTCCTTAGAGTTCCCTCTTAAATCCTGCTCGCCCCCCAAGTTCATTTCAGGTTTCGCTCTCGCTAAGTTTCTCTGACACCTGCAACACTTGCAGAGTTTACTGCCTCAGACCTAATATAGTAGCAGTGGCTGGTGGCACCCTGTTGCATCCTTTCTGTTTCCTGTGTGTACAGGGTGTTTCTCCAGCAGTCACTACGTTTTTTGTGTTCCTTGTCCTTATGTTATGATCACCATGCTCCACAATACCAAGTGCAGATTCTTGTCCATTGATCTCGTTGACTATACCATCCTAAAGGAAATGAAGAATCTGCCTCAGTTCATGAAAATAAAATATCCTTACCGCCCTGGAATCTTGCCATATGCCTCCTGGAGTTGAGAAGCAGCTTCTATTTATTCCACAGTCAGGAATAACTCGACAGGCTTTATTTGTGAAAATGATTACTTCTCTTTCATCTTTCAAATATAAAGTAATATTATCATTGTCAAGCAGCCCATCCAGATCAGTGCTGTGGATGTTGGGTAGCTACTTGGGGTCTTTTTGTAGCTGAGTGAGTGG